AGTGGTGGAGGCAGGTACAATTACAACATTTAAAAGGCCTCTGAATAGGTATATGAATAAAAAGGATTTAGAGAGATATGGGCCAAATGCTGATAAATGAGTTTAGGTCAGATTGGGTTGTCTGGTCAGCACGGATGAGTTGGACTGAAGGGTCTGTTTGCATACTGAATGACTATGATTCTAAATAACACTCACCTTTCTGTTTTTCCTCATTGAGATGGATAACTTCACATCTAGCCATGTTGTACTGCATCTGCAATGTATCTGCCCACTCACTCAACTTGTCTAAATCACGTTGAAGCCCACTTGCAGCCTCCTTACATATTGCTCACAACACAGGGACTGTTTCAAAATATAGTCCGCTCTAAATCTCTTTGAAGAGCAGAAAAAAACAGCAGAAATGTTTAAAGCTTTGAGGGACATGTTTTCAGCACCAACTGAACGGTATGTATTCAATACTAGGGAACAAAGTGAGAAAGAGTATTGATCGATACATGACATAATTAACTCAGCATGCAGACACCCACGAATTTGTGCAATTAAAGGATGGGTTCATTTGGTGCAGGTAAATTAGGAATAAGGGATCCAAAAGTGACAGCCTGTCTATGGAGAGAAGACAAACTTACACTTAGGAGGGCAACTGACAGAAGTACCAAGGTTGTGAATCAACAGACAGAGCAGATTCATGGCCGAACAGACTAGGTCTTGCATTATGAAGACAGCGGGCAGAACAATCACAAAGTGCAGGATGTAAATATTACAGAGGATATCAGGCAAGAAAGAAGAAAAAATGTCTAGCATGAGGGAAGCAGTGTTCTCACTACAAAAATACTGAATAATCTTGCACACAGGTGTACAGCTAAAATGAGTCATAACAAGCAGGTACAGCTGGTCACTGAACAGATAGTAGCTAAAGATTCTGACAAATCCATCCAGTCCATACAAGTTGATCCAGTTAAATCAAGAGGGAAGTTATGGTTTGTGACTGTAGGAACAATGACTACAGAAGGAGAACATCAGGTCAACGTAAAGTGTCAAATAAATACTGGTCCAACATGCCAATCATGACCTTCCCAGACCTATGCCAAGTGGCTCAACATGGCAAGCCAAACAGTGAAGCCCTTCAAAGTAAGGTTAAGGCTATATGATGGCACCATACTCATGCCAAGAGAACAGATCACTCTGCATGCTCATTGAACAAGGATTGGAATTTTTTCTACATATGTCAAACAAAGACCACTGATCCCTTCCAGAACAAATCTAAAGCTAGCCCTCAGAGTACCAAAAGAGATTTGCAATGTGTTGCAGTGCACTAAACCACAGACTGTGAAATACATTCTAGAGGAGTGCAAAAACATGTTCATCTGCCCTCAAGGCCAGGCTGAAAAATAAGATACAAGAGCTGAAAAAGATGGAAGTAAGCAAGAAAGTGACAACTTCCACTGAATAACAACACAGCAATGAAACAACCTGGCAAACTGAAAACATCAACCCACAGAATCCAAATGAAGTCTTCAAGAGATCACAAGTCCCTCAAGCCAACCATTGAAGCAATTTTGCCACTTGAAAAGGCAAAATTTTTCACCAGCCTAGAGCAAAGAATGGTTACTGGCAAGTGAAACTGGATGAAAGCAGGCCTTTTCTAACCACATTCTGCACACCCTTTGGGAGATGCAGAAGGTTGCAAATGCCATTTGGCATTTCCACTGCTCCAGAAGAATATCAACACAGCTAACACAAGGGAGTCAGTGATTTTCCTGGAGTGGAAGCAACAGTGGATGATCTGCTAGTTTATGAATGGAGACACAATGGTAGAAGACATTGCTGACAATCAAGATCTAGTGTGTGACTGGTTGACAGAGCTCACTGGATGAAACTGAAGTTGAACAAGAAAAAAAAATACTTTTAAGATGCCTGAAGTCACAAAGATAGGATATATACTGACAGCAAAAGGTATCTGCCCAGATCCAGAAGAGGTGGAAGCTGTGATAGTGATGCAGCAACCAACAGATGTAAAGGCAGTCCATTGATTTCTTGTTTTCGTCAACTATTTGGCAAAATTCTTGCCCAATTTGTCATTGGATTGTGAACCATCACACATTTTAAGCCAAGGACCAGCAGTGGTATTAGGTCATGGAACAATGAGCAACATTCAATAAAATCAAGCAACCAGTGATAGCAATGCCAGTGATGAAAACTACAACATAAATTATGAAGTAAAACTGTAGTGTGATGCCAGTGAGACTAGACTTTGTGCAACAAACATTCAAATCCAGGGTGCTAACACAAGCCAAGAGGCATTATGTCCAGATTAAGCAAGAATGCCTAGCCATTGTTTTTGCTTTATGCACATTTTCATCAATATCTATTTGGAAGGGAGACAAAGTTACAGTCAAGTCCAACCACAGGATACTTCAAAGCATTTTCCTCAAGCTGCTACTATCTGCTCCAAGAATATTATTCCAATCACAGAGCTACCACTTGGATATGACACACAAGTGTTATGGACCAGACTAAACCCCCTCAAAATATATTAAGAAAATTGTCTAGACCCTAACTTTTTCTTATTTTAAAGTGTAAGGAGTTGTGTTCCAGATGCAATTCAATTGGTCAAACTACCAGGTATGAAACAAAACACACTTTATTCTACACTCTAATTAAAATACAAACAAAATAAAAATAAGAATTGACTTAACTGTAACTCTATTGAAATACTTAACAAAATAATATACTAACTGCTACTAATTAGCTATTCCAATATAGTAACATCCCATAAACACACCCTTGGCAAAGGCTAATTCAGTAAAATAGATTGTCTCACATGCAATTCTACAGCAGGAAGAGAACCACAGCTATTAACTGTGACAGAGAGGAAGAAGAGCTTCCACATCCAGCTTCAAGACCCCAACAACTGTTACTGAAGGGTAAAACCAAAAGAAAATCCAGGTTCTTGTGGGAGCTTGACTCCACCCATTCAGGCTGCTTCTATTGTTCCAACTTTAAAAATACCTCAATACCTCACGAGCTGTTTACTTTATTGGCTTTGGAGCAGACTGCTCAGAACCTCTGTCTCAACCTTTCTACATTAAAAAAAAAGGACAAAATACACTTCTTGAAGCCATAACATCATCACACAAGCTAGGAAAGCAGATGAATCTTGCAGATATACTGTCAAGAGCAGCACTTCGTGTGAAGAAAGTGGAGAATCCCACCACAGTATATGAAATCTTTCAGATACAAGATGAAGCAATAACTCTCCATGCACTGGAAGTCATTAACCCACTAAGACAGAGAATCTAACAGGCAAGTTCCTTGTTCAAATCAAGCAAATTATCCAAGATGATGCAAATCTCCAAGGCTTGTAAAAAGTTGCAATGAAAGGCTGGCCAGAAAGCATCAAGGACAAACCTGTTGCTGTAACAACATATTAGGTAGACAGAAGTGAACTGAAAGGTCATAGTGGAATACAGTGCAAAGGAAACAGGGCCATCATCCTAAAAGACTTGAGAGGAGAGATGCTAAAATGCATTTTTGAAAGCCACAGGAATTGAGTCAAGTCTGAGGGAAGTAAGGTGCTCTACCAGCTAAACATGAGCAATGAAACTGAAGACCACATCAGCCAGTGAAGTGCTTGTAATGGGGACCACACTAAACAAACTAGAGCTGCTGACGATACATGACATCCCAGATGGACCATGGTTGAACATGGTTGTTTGGCATGTCGTTTCATCCTTGTCTTTGGTTTAGTAGCGTATTTAGCTCTTAAAGAAACACACCTCTTAAAAAAATAACACAATAGGACTGGAGCACAAAATTCCAGGATGACACCAGTGATGGAGTGCTGCAGTGTTTGCGGTACCATCTTTCAGATGGAGTGTTAAATTTAGGCCCTGTCTGCTCTCTCAGGTGAATACAGAAAATCTCATGACACTCTTTCCAAAATGAAATGTTATACCCTGACCAGTACCTCTGTCAACAGAACACTGATCATTATCACCTTATATTGCTTCAAGAACGGTGGGAGTTTGCTATACACAAGTTGGCTGTCCATGTTTTCTTGCACTATGTCAGAGCTACAATTCAAAAGAAAAATACCTAAGTGGTTGTAAAGCACTCTTAGACATCTTCCAGTTGTAAAAAAAACTCCTGTCACTGCATTGGAAAGGAAATGAATGCCAATGATGTCATTGCTGTGCACCCACTGCTGCAACCTTCCTGAGCTGCCCCACTTACTGCTACCCTGCTTGTCACCTCATTCTCCAGTTCAGTCACTGCTCACTATGCTGTTCTCTTCACTCACTGCCCAGCAGGGCAGCAAGAGCAGCAATAAGAGGGAGGTGAGCAGGACAGTGAGTGAGCTGGGAAATGCAGCAATGAAAGATCGGGAAGGGGACCAGCAATTGACAGATGTCATTGACCTCTCATACAGGCTGTGGTGCAGTTTCAGTGGTAGCAAACATAGCCCCTATAAATTCAAGTCTTTCTCTTGTGCCTGTTGTGGCTCTTTGAAAGTGTATTTCTTCCCCAAGAAGAGCTGCCTAATTACTCAACTTTCTCTGTCCTTCCTTCATAAGGATCACTAGGGTCTTTGATCCTACAAAACAAATGTAAAGTCACATCACCAATGAACCAGAGTCAAGATGTTATCTGGAATGCACTGCTTGAAACAATTGTAGCCACAGATTAAAATTTATTCAGATTTAAATTCTGGCATGTAATTTTTTCCTCATACATGATTATGCTGTTACCTAGACACACAGGACAGTGATCAACAAGTGCAGCAAAATAAAAAAAGTGTGCTGTTCAGCAATAGGTGTGAAGTAGAAATACTCTTATGTCACTGGTCATAAATACCAAGCAGTTTAACTTTGAAAAAGTAGCTATTACATCTAAAGATATTTATTTCAGAGTTGCTTGTTATTAACAAACAAGGAAACCTGCAATAACACATATGTTCCTTAAAAATCTTAGATCAACTCTTGTAAATTAAATCAAGTCGCTTTCCAATTTATACAAATTTTATTTTTATCAAAAGTACTAAGTTACAGAGGTTAAGTGTTCAGATACATTTTACTCATTTGTTTTAGTTCCATGGGAAGTGCAATTTTTGGAAAATTATTTTATTATGGGCAAGTTGACAATTGCTAAGGGTTTAGCTAGTATCAAATATCCAATTTTCTAATCTGTTCCTGCCTTTCCAAATAAACTGAATCTGAGCTGATATGTAATTTAAGACCTCTCTAGATTTTGGGAAATATTCTAAATTAAGATAAATGCTCATTCTTGCTATGCACTGTTCAATGTATGGGCACAATGGGTAAATACTGCACATGATTTAATTTTCATCACTAAGAATTAGTATTAATGTTATTCCTAACCAACATCCCACCACCACATAGTGTGATTTTATTATTTTTTAATTTAAAAAAAAAATCAAGCGTTTTGATTAAAGTATGACAACCGAAACACAACTGCTCACATCACAGCTGTTCAAGTACAGAGAACTTAAACCATGTTGTGTGGTCATATTCCTCGCCTGGTCTCAGCAATGCATCTGGGAAATTTGCCTGCAAAATAAAACATTTGAATGCATCAAATTAAAATGTAATGCAATGCTCAGAAACAGTAAGTAACAATCTATTCTCCTGCCCAGTTTTCCAGCTTCCTCCGCACCCTAGTACACTTAAATTCAAACATTCTGCAGCCTTCATCAAATTTAATCTAGTAATGTTCCTATGAAGTACCTTAGGAGGTTTTACCACATCAAAGGTGCTATCAGTGCAAGTTGTTTTTCTAACAATTTGCAACTGGTCCTAATTTGCCACATCATCTAGTTTTTCTTCATTTTAGCAGCAGCGAGGTTGCACAGTTGCAGGAAACATTGTGTTACGTTTTTCTTTTTAAGTCAGAAGCAAAGGTTTAAATTAATAAACTGTTTTCATAATCCACGTGTCAACCTAGGGCACAGTAACAGAAATTTTGTTCAAGCAGAATTCTTATATTACGTCTAAATTAATGCACATTAAAATATGAAAAAGGTTCCTTTTCCCTTCAAACCTTGTTAACAGCATCAGGCCAATTCTGAGTTTCCAAACAAAAAGCTGAATGCTTGGGGTATATGGCCCCTTCTTTGCCCTTCAGACTCCCATCCAGGAAATTGGCAGTGTAGAACTGAACTCCTGGCTGGGTGGTCTCGATCTCCAGCAGCCTGCCACTTGGCCGGTGGTAAACCCTGTAAACAAGAATAATGTTTTCACTGGCGATCCTTTCCTTGGAGTATTAAAGATTTATTCCCTGAACTTCCTCTCCAGCCTAATTCCACTTGTGACTCAAAAAGGAAAGTGCTATCAAGTTTCTGTAATCTGGTCAACAGCAATTGAGACCTGAACACAATCGACCCGTGGACATTACTGAAGAAGTCATGTCGGACTTGAAATATTAACTCCAGGCTGCCAGACCTGCTGAGTTTCTCCAGCATTCTCTGTTTTTGTTTCAGATTTCCAGTATCTGCAGTATTTTGCTTTTATTTTAATAGAATCTCTACAGTGTGGAGGCAGGCCATTCAGCCCATCGAGTCCACACGGACCCTCCAAAGAGCATCCCACATAGACCAATCCCCCTACTCTATCCCTGCACTTCCCATGGCTAATCCACCTAGTCTGCGCATCTTTAGATTGTGGGAGGAAACTGGAGCACCCAGAGGAAACTCCACACAGACAGTTGCCCAAGTGTGGAACTGAACCTGGGTCCCTGGCACTGAAAGGCAGCAGGGCTAACCACTGAGCCACAATACTGCCCCACACATGGATGGTATTTGTTCTCTGTTCAGTATCTCTCAAGATGAAAATGGCAGTCCATCAACATGTGAATTGAGAGTACATTCCTTCATTTAGCTGCATGTCACAACCACACCACCACATAATTCTGCTTTTATAATTCTATTGGAAACCCTATCTGCACTAGCTTATCTTGCTGGTTGATCGTATGTCACAAATACCCTCGGATCAAGTCCCCTCCACAGACTTCAACACAGAATCAAGGTTGATGCTTGGTGACGATACTGAAGGTGTACCACACTACCAGACGTGTTGTTTTCCAGAATGGACATTAAATAAGAGACCCTGCTTCCCCTCTCAGATGGGAACAACTTGTATTTACATATGACGATGGCCTAGTGGTATTATCGCTGGACCATTAATCAGGAGGCCCAGGTAACGTTCTGGGGCCCCGGGTTCGTATCCCGCCATGGCAGATGGTGGAATTTGAACTCAACAAAATATCTGGAATTAAGGATCTAATGATGACCATGAATCCACTGCTGATTGTTGGAAAAATCCATCTGGTTCACGAATATCCTTTGAGGAAGGAAACTTCCATCCTTACCTGGTCTGGCGTAAATGTGACTCCAGACCCATAGCAATGTTGTTGACCCTTAACTGCTCTCTGAGCAATTAGGGATGGGCAATAAATGCTGCCTAGCCAGCGATGCCATCATCCCATTAATGAATAAAGAAAATTAAAATGGCATCTTTAACAAAGTAAAACATCCCAGGTTTTACACAAGGAGAACATCTTGACACTAAGCAAAGGAAAGAAAATATTATAACATGTCAACAAAAGTTTGGTTAAAGAGGTATATTTTAAAGGAGAGTCTAAGAGAAAGATAAAGATTTTGAGAGTTTTATGGAGGGTATTCTGTGACTGCATGGTTAAGAGTTGAATAAGGTAAGGTTAGTCCCTTTCATTTGGCCAACAAAGGCATTCAAGGAGAATGGTGTGTTCAACTGTGTCAAAGGCTATAGAAAGAAGAAGAATGAAAAGGAATACAGGATCAGAAATGGGCCATTCAGCCCATCAAGCCTGCCTGTCATTCAATACCATTGCGGCTGTTCAATCACTTTAATGCCTATTCCTACACTATACCCACGTCTTTTTACATCATAGACAGATTTCTAAATACCAATCTCTAAACATACACAATGACTGAGCTTCCACTACCCTCAAGGATACAGCATCCCAAAGGTTCACAACCCTCTGAGTAAAATAAAATTCTCCTTATCTTGGTTCTAAGTGGCTTCCCCCTTATTTTCAATTAGCCCCTGGTTATATGATTGCCCAACCAGGGTAAAAAAAGCTTACCTTCTTCGACTCTCTCTATCCCTTTAGGCATTTTGTAGGTTTCAGTGAGATCATCTCTTATTCTTTGAAACTTGAGAGAATACAGGTCCAGTTTGCCCAGTCTCTCTTCTAGGACAGTCCTGTTATTGCACAAGTGAACCTCTGTTGCACTTCTACATAGCAATTGTATCTTTCTGAAAGGGGACCACATTGCACATAGTATTCCAGGTATGAGCTACCAAACTTCTATACAATTGAAAGAAGACTTTGCTACTCCTGCACACTTAAATCTTATTGCAAAAAGACCATTCGACTTCCTTATTGCCTGCTGCATGTTAGCCTTAACAGTCTTATTAGCAAGGATACCTAGGTTCCTTTCTATATCTACACTTTCTAACCTTTGCGGAAATACTCTGCACATCTGTTCCTCTGACCAAAGTAGACAGCCTCATATTTTTCTACAGTGTATTCCATTTGCCAGTTTCTTGCCCACTCAGTAAGTCTGTCAAAATCCTCTGGAAACCTTGCTGCATCTTCCTCACAGCACACATTCCCACCTAGGTATAGTGCTCCGTGTCAGTCACAGAATGTCATTTGTGATTTTGATCAAATTTGTTTCATTGTTGGTACAGGGACAGAAACCTGATTGGAGAGGTTTCTTCACGGGGTTGTGGGGAAAATGGGCATAGATGAGGGAGGCAGCAACACATTCAAGGACCTTGAGGAGAAAAGGGAGGTTGGAAATGGGTCAGTAATTTTCTAAGGAGTAAAGGTGAAGACTAGTATTTGTTGAGGGCAAGGTGATAATGGCAGATTTGAAAGGGAGGGAACTAGTGTCTGATGAAAGCGAATCATTAAATCATATCAACAAAATCAGCATCTCCAAAGCAGATTATTTGTTAATTCCCATCGTTAGTACTGCAGAATCATACTGTGCTCAGATTACTGCCATATTACCTGTTACAGTGATTACATTTCAGAAATACTTCAGAAATGCTTAAGATGGTGAAAGATGCCATGACAATGCAAGATTTTCCCATTTAATAATCATCCCCTAAATTGCTGCATCTAAAGCCCAGTAGCCAAGTTCAGAATAAATACACGGAGCATAACTTGGATTTGGGAAAAGATTGACTTAAGTGCAGTAATATGAACACCTAGGGTTTTGTTAATTATTGTCTCAGTGTGACTGTGTAGAATTAAACAATCTGTTATGATTAGTCTCAGAAATATTTTTGTCTCTCCCTTTAAGCTATAAACAACACATTTCAAAAATTCTGAAGAAGGGTCCCAACCCAAAACATCAAACTTTCCTGCTCCTCTGATGCTGTCTGGCCTGCTGTGTTCCTCCAGCTCCATACTATGTTATCTCTACATTTGAAAATAAAATTTAACTTTCTGAAGAAATTATGCAAAACTTTTTTAAAAATTGGACAAAAATCACAAGTATATCCAACAGCACAAAATGTATACAATTATGCAAATAAGGCAAACCTCCTAAGTTCAAGAGAAATGTAATTCCTTTTCTCAAGTTGGTTACCTTGCACAAGGAGATCGTTGTTTTGAGAAATTTAAACAGAAGTTGTGGTCAAAGCCTCCAGCTAACTTATTTGCAATATGGTCTCCAAGAACTACTGGGTTCCTCAAGTCAAAATTCGTGTTCTCCACCGAGGCAATCTCTCCTTTATAAACCAGATATACAGAATGAAGCACAGAACATCAAAAATTATCTAGTTATCTATTGTCAATGAGGAACAAAAAAGCATTGATAGTCTTAATAACCTTCAAGTGTTAGCAGTGACGTGTTGGTTACATTCCACCTCCAAATCAGAAAATTGTGATTTCAAGGCCCACACCAGAGATTTGAGCAAAATGTTGAGGCTGAAACTCCCAGCGCAGTACTGAGAGATCACTGCACGTTCAGAGGTGACAGCTTCTAGATGAGATGTTAAACCATGATCCTGTCAACCCTCTCAAGTGAATATGAGATATCCGAGGACACTATTTTGAAGAGGAGAGTTCTCCATGCTGTCCTGGCTAACGTTTATCCCTAAAAGCACATTATCTGCTCAACGTCAAGCTTGTGGGAGTTTGCTGTGCACAAACTGCTTGCTCCAATTCTTATATTGAAACTAAAGCAAAACTTGCACTTCACTAGTACTTCATGGTTGTAAAACACATTGGGAAATCCTGAAGTTATGAAATGTACTACATAAATGCAAGTCAATGATTTGCTTCCTCTGAAGGCTATCTGCATGACTCTTTCTCATGTCCATCACAACTCAGGTTTATTTATTGTACAACCGTTGGTGCAGCTTTAGTTTTACACCAAAGTTGAAGACAGCCTAAAAGAACTGGGATAGTTCTAGTTAAAGAAGAAGGTTATAGGAGGTGTTCAAAATTATGAAGGATTATTACAGAGAAAAGAAGCTGTTTCCAATCACAAGAGAGTCAATAACCAGATAATGCAGATCTACTGCCAAAAGAGTTACTGAGAGATGAACAGGATTATTTTACATGTGGCCAATTGTTAAGTCCCAGAATGTATGGCGTGAAAGAGTGAAGGAGGCAGAAACCATAGCAATTTTCAAATAGGTACTCATAAATATTTGAAAATGAAATTGCAGGGCTATTGGGAAACAGTACGAGAACCTACCCAAAAGACCTGACGCAGTGAAGTCAATCATACCTTTCACATTAAAGGATCCTAGGTTGTAGTGCAAGTCTGGACTATGAAAAATTGAAATCAGAAACATACCAATTATGGAACCAAATGGAATGAGATTCCATGTACTAGAAGTTTCTGCCTTTATTTCAGCTATAACTTTCTCAAAAAGCTGTAAAACAGATTAACTTCTTCTTTGGTTTTGACCTTTTATCAGCACATAACACTGGTAATATTTAGGAACTGTCGCATCTCATCAAAGTGTAGAAAACAGGATTTGTACTCCTACAAGAGGAAGTTGAATCGTTCACTGACTGTTTATTGAATAAAATCTACACTGGCTTAATGATGCAGCATAAAAATTCACCTCTGGGAAGCAATTAGAATGAATGAGAAAATAGATGAGACGGAACTTTTAAAGAAAAATCAAGAAAGAGGCACGCACAAAAACAACATATACCTGAAAAAAAATAGTTTTGTAGATGCCTTTTCATGAAAACAGTGAATGGTGAAAAAACAATAAGTCTATTCTCTCCTGATGAACACCTATGCCACAGGATGTGTACCCTTAATCTGTTTCTCTGAACATGTCTCTCTGACAAATAGTCTATCTGATCTAATAGGAGATAATGTGGCATATCAAGTGCAATTTGTTCCCACTTTGACTCAAAAGTTTGCACATTTGCCCTGGCTGTGGTTACATGTCCCGCTCTAGATGTATGAGCTCACTGACACTGACATTTCAGTGCCAAGGAAGGTGCTGGCCCTCTCTGCCCTCATGAGTGGATGTAAAAGCCCCCAATGCATTATGTTAAATAGCAAGAGGTGTTCGTCCTGCCATCATGGCCATTGTTTATCTCTTAAGCAATATCACTGGAACAGGTCATTTGGTTTAACATCACATTGCTGTTTATGAGATCTAGCTGTGTGCAAATTCCCACATTATAACAGTCACTGACAACTTAAAGCGACATTGGCTATACATTACATAGGGGATCATCCTGCAGCATTTAAAGGCACTGTATAAATTCAAGGTTTTAACACCATCAATTGTAACCATAGTCATGTCTACCTTCTCTGAAGGCTGCTTGTATATCAGTGAATCAACATCAAAGAGATTAACTAGTTATTTATCTATCCTTTTGTTTATTGCACCCTTGCTGTTATTGCTGATATACTAATTACTGCACTTCAATGTTAATTGATTTACAGTGAGCCATTTTAAAAACAGCCAAGAGGATGTGAACAATACTTTGCAAAGTCCAAGAAATTTCTTCACCACATTTGTGTCTGAAAGGAGAGTTCAAATCCGACAATACACGAGCACAAAATCTGCAACAATTTGATGCATTGCAATGCTGCATTCTAAGAGCTACAATCTTTTGACTGAAGCATCAAAACGGTCTGCTCTCAATTGACTTATATCAAGAAAGATAAGGCAGCTGTTCCAGTCTCCTGGCCAAAATACGTTCCTCAAACACTATCAGTAAACAGATTATTAGATCATTATCACATTGGGATCATACTGGCCGCCATATTATAATGACTATACTCGGAGAGTTGTTTGATAACACAAAGCTTGAGTACTGCTGAAAAACAGACATGTTGTTGAAGCTGTTCATATTGCATTTATGACAGACACAAGAATACTTAATATCAAGCAGAATAACAATTTATCCTGCATGTGAAAAGGGTGAAGATAGGGACTCTGACTGAGTGAAGTATTGCCATGGACAATGCACCAGGGAACAGCTATTCCATCTATTTAAATTCAGAGTCAAGTAGATTCTGATTAGTTAAGGGGTTGCCACGGGAACGGTTATCCCTCACACTTTTGGTGAATTTACAAGGTGCAAGGCTTTATCTACTTTCTTTCTGTTTACTCAGGACAGGGCTCTACACAACAATATATACAGTTCCCAATAAGCATAGGTGAACCACATTGCAAATCCAATTTATAATCTTACACTAGCTATCAGTGCAGTTCCTAGCACACTGGGGATTCTTCAGTAAGCGCTGTCCAATCACAAACTCACACTGATTGCTGGATATTAAGGGCAGAATCCTGTTGTATAGGGGTCTTGTCAGCCAGCTGGAGAGGCAGGGAGACACCTGCACTGCAGTTTCCAGGGGTCCCCCACTGAATCGAATGTGATATAGGATTGGCAAGTGAACTAAGATCTCAGGGAGGTTGTGGGGGGTGGGGTGTGCAAAAACATCACGCCCAGTAAATGCTGCCAACTAATCATAGGTACTTAGCAGCACCACACAGTCAGCCATAGCTGCTGCTGGAAGGGTTGTAGAAGATTATGGAGCAAAGTAAATGATTTTTGGGTAGAGGGAAGATTAATGGGGATTGGGGTTTGCATGAAAGGGCCAGCAATAGGAACGACGGACAAGGAAGTGACAGCTAAGGTTGACAGCGGACACTTCCTGCCCTGTGTCCAATCCCTTGATCAGGCACTGACCGCATTTGATCAAGGAACTACAACTATCGCCCCATCTCCCAAACCACACAACGCCACCCGACAAACTGCCTGCACAAGTTGACCTGTTGGATGCACCCCACGGTAACAGACCTGCTTGTGGCTGGGTTAAACTGAGGACTGGAATGCTCCAGCCCAGGTAACACCCTACTGATCTCTTCTGCACCCTCTCTAGTGCAATCACATCCTTCCTACGTGACCAGAACTGCATGTAGTACTCCAGCTGTGGCCTCACTAAAATTACACAGAGCTCCACCATACCCTCCTTGCTCTTATATTCAGTGCCTCAACTAACAAAGACAAGCATTCCATATGCCTTAACCACCTTATCTAGCTGTCCTGTTGCCTTCAAGGACCTGTGGACATTATAAATGCTGCTTATTTCTATTTTTCTGTATTCTTCATTGTAGATTATTGAAATGGGAAAAGCATTGTTTTAAAACTAAGGATTTCGGAAGGAATCACTGCACTTTTAAAAAGCAAGTTGTAGTCATTTTACACTGTTAATTTGTCCGAGTCGTGAGGAAAGGCTGTTTGTAGAAGCACTAGACGGTGCGTTTTAAGTGAGATTTAGCCAGCATCTGGTTGCTAATTAGTTTATGGAATTGTGAAGAGTTGTGGATGACAACGGCCATCAGCCTGACAACTACCTGACTGGCTCATGGGCAGCTGAGCAGCTTCTGGGTGTGAACAATACTGGCAGAAGTCTATGGACCTCTGAAAGTGGAGGTGGAGTGTCTCTTTCTGCAGTTTAAAAATAAACCTGAAGTTTAAAGAAAGCCACTTGTTTTTTCCCACTAGTTGCTGCAAGGTGTTGTTTTTCATGAAGAACTAAGAGACTTTGCAGTTAATGTACCAACTCCTGCAAAGAGGTGAAAAGTTCTAGAGAGAAATTGAAAAGCAATGAGTCCTGACCAGCAAAAAGATAATCTCAATGAAACCCTGTGGACTAAGGGCCTTTAAATAGCTTTCCCAGGTTTTTCCCTCCACTTATAACACTAATGTTTTTTAATCTGTCTATACATGTGCATTGGAGTAGAATTTTAAGTGGTAAAGTCATATGTTGACATGGTTCAAATCTACACATTTGTAATAAAAATGCGGAAACCTGGTCAATATTTTCTGTTAACCCAGTCTATCAGACAGACAAATTGGGGAATTGTGTGTACTTTACTAAGTATTCCAGGAATAGCAGTGCTTGAATTCCAGTGTACTACCTCAGTGAGGTGTAACAAAATACACACTAAGGTCTCTGTGATCCTCTGTAATTCCTAGGGTGCATTCATTTCTTTCTACACACACTCACGTTCATCATACATAGTCCTCCAAAAATGCATCACCCCACACATTAGAGAGGTAAATTTCATTTTCCACTGTTAGCCCACCTGACAGGCCCGTTGATGTCAATCTGTGGTCAAAGGTTTTTGTCTTTGCTATTTACCACATCACCAATTTTTGTATCAGCTATTAACTTAATCATAAATGCTACATTCATGTAGAGATCAATAATGTACACAACAAACAGCAAGAT